GCACATCTCACCCCAAGCCACACCCCTATCGCCAGCCCCCAGACACCTAAACTCTGCCCAGTCCATCAAAACAATGTCCCAGCTTCTCCTGGATCCTCTTTCTGATTCATTCCTCACTTCCTCTCTTTCCTCACAGCTCCAACCCGTGTTCAACAGGAGCAGTCTGGGACCCCTTTATGCGGGCTGCAGTCTAACCTCTCTCAGGTGAGGTCCTCCTCATGAACAACGCAGCCCACCAGGTGGATGAGACCAAAATCATGGACTAATCTGTGGGCTCCCTGATTATCCCTACTCAAAACCACCACCGTCCATGAATACTAACCATCAGCAACACCGGTAGCTGTAGTAAAGACCCAACACACTAGGCTATGTATGTTATCTTCAAGGCTTCATCAGTCCACAGCCCCATGAAGAAGGGGAAACTGAGGCTCAGAGGAAATAAGTGGCTTTTGCAAGATTACACACAACAAATGATGGCAGGTCAGCTCCTACATCCAAACTCCTAGTCCTTAGACAGTGCTGGCTCCTCAGCTAACATTATGGCCCTGCGGGATATGGAAAGTTGTAGCTGCTCCGGGAACCTAGGAGGGGAGCAAAGGAAGGCACATAACAGGATGATGTGCTCCTGTTTGGATCAGGCTCAGTCTGTGGAGACCTGACCCGACCAGGGCAAGCAGGCTGTGGGAAGGGCATAGTTCTGGGCTGTTTGGGAAGGTTAGGTTCTGTGTTTCTGACTCTCCTTCTTGCTTCCTACATCTGACTCACAGGATCTCTAGGTCAGGCTCTTATCACAGCCATTTGCCTGCAGCTTTCCCCTCCTTTCCAGGGAAGAGGTGATGAGGGGCTCATAGATAGCAGCCTCAGTAAATTCAGAAAGATAAGAGCTTTGATCCCTGCTCGGCCTCTTACAGAGCTCTGTGATTGTGGCCTTGGGAACCCACTTGAAGCTTTCTGTTCCCCGTTTCACCATCATACACTCAGCTCTCCACCCTGGTGGGGTCGCGATCTATGAGTTCAACTAAGCAAGGGTGGAAAATATTCAGAAACAGAAACTGCATCTGTCCCGAACATCAGATTATTTCCTTATCACTGTTCCCTAAACAATACAATATAACAGCTAAGTATATTGTATGAGGTAGCGTAAATGATCTACAACGAGGTGCAGGAGGATGCAGGCAGATTCTGTGTAAATACTGTCTCGTTTTACACAAGGGTCTCAGGAACCCAAGGACTTTAATATAGGAGGTCCGAGACCCAACTTCACACAGACAGGGAAAGATGAATGTGTGTGTGTGTGTGTGTGTGTGTGTGTCTGTGTGTGTGTGTGAGAGAGAGAGAGAGAGACCATATAGTATACAACCACATTGTACACATACACACACACACACACACACACACACACATCTTGAATTTTTATATCTTGAAACATTTATAAAAACCTACATCACTGCCATAGTTTTAGGGTATGACCACATCAACTATATGTAAGTTTATAAATATATAGCTATATATGGTTACAATGCATGTTATAAATATATTGCAATATATTTGGTATATATCACATACTAAATACTATGTACTGCTACTAAAAATATAGTAGTTAGCTGAAGAAGAAATAATAAAATAGTTATATATAACCAGTGTAATGTAAATATTATGTATAAGTATGACATGTAATAGATATGATGCTGTAATGTAAAATATAATTCTCATGCAATAGCATGAAATATAAACATATCACATACTTTTCCATATTAAATTTATATTTATAGTATATAGCTATATATTATAGTCTCAATGCTACAGAACTGTGTTTTATATATAGCACAGGAAACATAATCATTGTGAGAAATGAAACATATCAGCCACTAAGTTGCCTTTAGCCTAAGGTAATGTGACCAGGCGTCCAAGGATCTGGGTCTTGTTTGCAGTGAGCCTTGCATTGCTGGTAATTGTTGCTCTAGGAGAAACCCTCCATACACCTGGGCCTTGAGAGCCCCTTTTCCCCTGAATTGTTCAATAATATATGAGCATCTGAGTCGGTGGCCGTGGTCCTGTAGCAAGGCGTAGGTTCTGGGTCATGAAGGGGTCTAGACCTCAGGTTGGAGCAGCCATGGAACCTGACAGACTCACCAAACAGGGGTCTCTCTCAGCCCATTCCGCACCCTTGCGTTTCTGTAGTAATGTTCTAGCCTGGCTGGGCCACAGGGTCTAACTGGGTACATTTGTGTTTCTGACAGCACCACCTGTAAGCGGAAGCGTCTGTCACATACGATGTTGTGATCAGTTTCCCGAGGCACTGCCCTCCACCGCAGCTCAGCCCTCTGGACACTGGTGTGTCCATGAGAATCCATGTTAGGACTTGCCTGGCATCGTGTGGGCCCCAGCTCCCAAGGAGAGAACCGACACTTATCACCAGGGTCTCCAGTACTTCAGGAAGCTTCCGCCAGCTCAGCGAGGGTTGTTGGCTGGCTCGATGATTCTAATTATTGTATATGATGAGCATTTCCCTGAACACAGTAGCTTCCTTCTTAACTAGCGTTCACCCAGATTCCGGTTAGGGCTGGCAGAGGGAGCAGGGGCAGTGACTGATCCTGATGAACAGATGCATGGATCACCCATGTGCTGTGCTTACCAGGCCCGAGAGGGGAGGAGCAGCCACCAGGGTGGACGCCGTCTGCTCATATCACCCCGGACCTGAAGGCTTCAGACTGGACAGGGAGCGGTTGTACTGGGAGCTGAGCCAGATGACCCATGGCGTCACCCTCCTGGGCCCCTACACCCTGGACAGGGACAGTCTCTCTGTCAACGGTGAGCATCCGGGATGTGGCTGGGGCCTCCTTCCCCGTGCTGGGTGGACTCCTTTCTGGTCATCGTCACATTCTCTGTCTTTCTCGAGGGCTCAGGGTGGGAGTGATGTGTGCTGGCTCTGGTGTGGGTCTCACTGTTTCTGCTTCTTGGACTGGCTTCATCCTCGAGGCCTTTCTCTGCTGTGAGAGTCATGGTGTAGAATCTCCTCTTGGGAGACCATGGGTCACGGATCCCCCTCCTACTGCACCAGGGCGCACTCACCCCTTTTGGATTCCTGTGTCTCCATTGACCCTGACCCCTGTTCTCAATGCAGGATTCACCCGTCGGAGCTCTGCACTCCTCACCAGCAGTGAGTACTCAACTGATGTCCCCATGGTGCTTCTCCCTCCTCACACCAGGCAGGGCAGGAGCTGACCCCTCCTCATGCCCCATGACGTCTCCTCCAGGAGCAGAGGCTGTGGGGGGAAAGTTATTGATCCTCTCGCATTCCCCAGCATCAGACCGAATGCCATCTCAGCCCTATATGCAGCAAGCCCCGTAAGGAATCTGTCTTGCTGATTTCTGCCTGGGGAATGAATGCTTTGCAGCTGTCATCCAGAAGAGCTTCCCCTCAGCTCCTGGGACCTCCACAGTGAAACTGGGAAGCTCTGGGGCTTCATTCTCCGCCTCCAGCCCCACCGGGAAGTACCAGTGCCTGGCCTTTCCGTGAGAGGCAGGCCTGATCCTGCAAACCCCTCCTACGCGACTCACTCAGAGGCCGAAGGTCATGGCACAGTTGGGGATAAGGAATCAAGACACAACCTCGGTGGAATCGTGGTTCCACCTCACCTAGGTCTGGGGCCCCATCGGGGAAAGGGGGTTCATCTCTGTCCTCAGAGAGTTTCTGACGCTGTGATGATGATGGTGGTGATGATGGTTCTCTTGGTGACCATGGTGATGACAGTGTCGTTGATATCGGCGTAGTCGCGGCATGGTGGTGAGAGTGATGTCGATTGGGACACGTGAAAGGGAACACCCGACGCGACAAAGCACTGAATATGCACCCCGAACCCTGTTCTGCACTTAGCTAGTACAGTTTAATAGGCTTTCATGGAAAGCTTTCTATCGTTATAGGGAAGGAGGCGTGAGCATTTTTATTTATGACGGACTTGTAATTTCTCCTGCTTATTTTTTAAAAAGCAAGGGAATGGCAAATGTATGTATTTCCTCAACTTTTACGCTTTGCATTTACTTCTTCTGACTCCAATTCTGAGTAAGCCTTTTGGAGGCCCTGGTTGCTCCCATCAGCCCAGGATCTGCGGGCGAGCTGCGTGGCGCCCTCTGGTGGCAGAACGCAGCCTGCGTGGGAGGACTGGGGCTCCCTGGAAGACGCTCTGGACAGAGAGCTCGGGAAGCTGCACTGCAGTTTCTCTTTTCTGCCTTTCCCGTTGCAGCCATGAGCCCCGCTCTGGTACCCTTTACCCTCAACCTCACCATCACGAACTTGCGGTTCACGCCAGATGTGAGCCATCCAGGATCCTCCGGGTTCAACAGAACCGAGGCCACCTTGCAGCACCTGGTGAGAGCACTGAGGTGTTCGCGGCCCGCGCTCCTCCCGCTTCCGTAGCGCTCCCCGCTCTCACACACCTCCCCCTCCATCCTCCGCAGCTTGGGCCTCTGATGAAGAACACCAGTATCGGCCCGCTCTTCTCTGGTTGCACACTGACCTCGCTCAGGTAGGACGTCCGGGAACGGATACTCACACTTCCAGGCTCCCCGACCCGGCTCCCGGAGGGACCTTGTTCCCCACCCGCCCAAGTGCAGCAGCTCTGGGCACCTGAGATGCTGCATCTGCTGAGCTTTCTCCCTAGACTGTATCCTGCCGGGCGTCTGTTCTGTTTTCTGTTGGTCCTAAGCAGTGTAGATATTCGTCAGGAGTGCACGCCCAGCAATTTACAAAACTATTCTCTACTTGGAAAACTTAAAATGCAAAAATGAAAAGTCTTAGTGAGCCAAACCCTGCTTAAACTACATATACGGTGCCCAAACGTGCTGAATCTGATGCATTTCCAAGGGTGTTCAGCTGCCCAACCGGTTTTCTGTTTGTTTCGCTTGGCCCAGGCTAGGATGCGATGATGCGGATGTAAGATAAATAATTCCAAAATCCAAAAAGACAAAATCCGAAATAGCTCAAAATCTGAACCTTCTTGACTTGGAATAATAGGGTTCAAAACAACTTCAAATTTTAGAGGATTTCAAATTCTCAGAGCAAGGATGCTCGACCACTGCAGGTTACGAGTGTCCTCTAGACCTGAAAACTCACAAATGGGACACACTTCTGGTCCCAAATATTACAGACAACGGGCACTAAAACTTCCAAGTGAACACTGAATAAAGAGCTTGCCAACACCGATCTCAATTCCCCTTCCGCATCTACAGATCATTTATAAATTCTGGACTTTTTATGTCCTTCAGTTTTCCCTCCTCCTAAACAATCTCAGCTTTGTGGCATTTCCAGAAAATCTGACAAGACGCCCTCATGACCAGGCTTGCTTATGTCCCTGTGCGCCCACCCTCTCCCTAGGCCTGAGCAGGATGGATCAGCCAGCAGGGTGGACCTCGTCTGCACCCATCACTCCGAGCCCACAGGCACTGGGGTGGACAGAGAACAGCTGTACTGGGAGCTGAGCCGAGAGACCCACGGTGTGACCCGGCTGGGCAGCTACAGCCTGGACAGGAACGGCCTTTATGTCAACGGTCAGTGGTCTGCAGCTGTGGCGTGGCTTCCCGAGGGTCTCGCTGCAGCCGTGTGCTCTGGGCTTCTCACACACAGAAGTGGGAGCTTCTTTACAGCTCTTCCTGACCTGGTAAACCTAATGTCTTAGCAAGACTCCGTCTCAAAAGAAAAACTAAGAAATGCTGGAGAGGTAGCTCCGTGTGAAGGCCCTATAGTCAATCTCCACAGTGTAATACAAAAGGAAACAATCTGTCAGCCCCAGTTCACTGGCATTTTCCCACCTCTTGCCTTTCCAGTCTTCAGCCTTCCTTTCCCTGTTCTTCCAGGTTACACCCAGCAGTACCTGCCCTCCACCCCCAGTGGTGAGTAATTTGGATCCCAGCATCACTGTGCCTTGGACCCCTCTCTTCTCCCCCTTATCCCCTACCTCACATGCCCCATGAAGGAAGGAATAGGAAGCCTTGGTCTTTCCCCAGCTCGGTCTTAATGTAAGTTTCAGTTCAAATACAACGATGGTTTTCAGATCCTATGATAGACCTCCTCGACTGGGGAATCCCTGTTTCCCTCATCTTTGTCTTATTGGGTTTTTTTCTTTGCTTAGTTTCTGTGGCCTCTACTGTGATCCCAACAATGTCTTCAACCCTTACACCAATCTCCACAGGTAGGAGCTTTCTCACTCTGTCTTCTCCTTTAGACTTTTCTTCCTCTTACACAATATCAATTATACATTTTAATCCTTATTTACACCTTTACTTTTTCATACCAGAGAAACTATTCGGTATTTACACATTTAACTTATTAATTTCATTTAAGAGTATGGCTTCAGTGTGCATCCACTTAGCTATAAATATCTCTCTTGTCTTTATGGCTGTGTAATACTCCATTCTATAAACACACACACACACACACACACACACACACACACACACACACACACACACACACACATGCACCTTCTTTATCCAGTCTCCAGTTGATGGGCAATTGCACTGTTTCCAAGTTTTAGCTGTTACAAACTGTGCCACTATGAACATGGGTGAGCATTTATGACTGTGGCATGATTCATTTAATTCTTTTGACTCTTATGGAGACTGTTATTTGTGTACACAAAGGCTATTGATTTTTTTCATATTTATCTTCTATCCAGCTACTATACTGAATTTGTCCATCGAGTCTAGAAGTCTTTTGGTCGAGGTCTATGTAGATTTTGTAGAGTATCATATCATCAGCAAATAATGACAGTTTCACTTCTTCCTTTCCTGTCTTTATTGCTTTTATTTCTTTCTGTTGTCCAATTGCTGTGGCTAATGTTTCTAAATGATTCTCCTCTCTAAAGACGCTCACACTGGTTCCTGTAATCATAGGAGGCAGAAGGAGGGGTGGAGTAGGTGACATGTTCAGGACCCCAATGTTGGCATATTTTATAGTGCTGGAGATGGACCCAAGCAATGAGCTCACATGTGCAGCTGGCAAACTACCCAGTGGTAGTTGGGCCCTACCCCAAACCCCAAGGTTGGCTCTTGATGGATTTGATAGTCTTCCTAGATCCCTAGGATTCCTGCACCCTGAGTCCTGAGACACTCTCTGAAATCTATAGGTGGTCCCCGACCTCTAAATCCTTCCCTGAACTCAGAAGAGTATGAAACACCAACCTTATTTGCTGAGAATGGATTTGTCCTGTGGCCAGTATACCACAAACCTACTGCACAACAGGTCAACTTCCTCGTTCACTCAGTCAACCAACTGAATTGTGTCAAGGTGTATCATTCTTGAAAAGATTGGACAGATAAGACTTTATCCTTCTTGTTAACTCTTTACGAGTTATACCCCTCACAGTTATATGTAGATCAGCTCTCTCACTATAGGCAAAGAACATGGCTTCTGTATGTAACATTCAGATTCTGCCGTTTCTGGGTTCTGTGTGTGGTGAAGGCTGGGGATCCATCTAAAACAGGACACGCTGCTGCTTTCACTCCTCACCCCCGTTCTAACGCCAACATGAACCCAACATGTCTCCGGATTCAGGTAGACTCCCTATTATCTCAAGAGGATAAGGTTCCCTGAGCAGGCAGGGTTTGTGTCCCTTTGCTGCACCATCCAGACCAGGCCTGATGAAGGATGTGAACCTCTCCTCTACTTTCCACCCAGCTGCCAGACCTGCCCTGCTGCTGCCCTTTACACTGAACTTCACCATCACCAACATGCCCTACACGGAAGACATGCAGCCAGGGTCAACAAGGTTCAACCACACAGAGTCGGTTTTGCAACACCTGGTGAGAGCGCCCCCTACCGTCCCTCTTTTCCCTCCCTCCCTCTCTGAGTCTCCTTACTCAGTTTTGGAGGATTCAGAGAGTTCAAACTGTGCACGGCCACAAAGCTAATGATAGATAGAACTTATGATCCGGCTGTCCCGCTTTTGAATATGTGTCCAAAGAAAATGAACTCAGCACACCAAAGACTCATCCCTATTCATTGTGGAGCGACTCACAATAGCTAAGATATGAAATCACCCTCATTGCCCATCAGCAGGTAGATGGATAAAGAAAGTGTTGTGTCTAAACACAACGGGAGTCATGAAGAAGAGTTGTGAAGAAGAGGTAGATCCTGTCGTTTGCAGCAGCATCATGGAGGGGACTGGGGGACATTAGATTAAGTGTAATAAGCCAGACCCAGAAAGACAAATACAGCATGTTTTCTCTCATATGCAGAAGAAGCCAAAAAAAGTGAACCTGAATATAAGGAAGTGATGAGTAGGTGCTGGGCAGAGCATGGAGCAATAAGTAAAAGGTGGTTGAATTTGACTTGGGCACAACGGAAAATCACACTGATTCCCATTAATGTGTACAATTTGCATGTATGAATATGCATTGCAAACATAATAAAACAGAAACTAAAAAGCTACGCATAAAAACACACACAAGGAGGAGCTGTTATGGAGCGTGGTGACAAAGCACATACTCAGCACGTGCAAGGCCCCAGCTTCAACCCCTAGCTCCAAAATATATAAAAATTTTCAAAATTGTATCTTAAAACTACAATTCCTTTTATATTTTTTTTTTTTTTCACTCACCCACCTCTCTGCCCTCAGCTCACACCCTTGTTCACCAACAGCAGCATCGGTTCCCTCTACAGTGGCTGCAGACTGATGGCGCTCAGGTGAGACTTACCTTCTGTCTCCCCTTCGAGGGTGCGGTGAGGTACAACCTGACTGGCCTGTCCAGATCTTGGATTAGGAGGGACAAGGGGAGGTCCCAGGGCACAACATTTAAGGAAGTGGACACATCACATCCCTAAGGACCCTGACACCTCCTTGATCTTTTCAGGCCACTCCTGACCCCATACACTGGGTACTGTAGGTCACCCCAAATCCAACTGACAGGGAGGAACGAACCCAAATCCAATTGGCAGACTTGGCAGACCTGAATAATCCACATGAGGTTTTAGCTTCACTGAGAAGCACAGGGACAGGAACATCACGGCCAGCATGGTGGGATTGACATTTCTTTTGTGCCAGAGCCCTCTCGACAGTCCAAGGGCTACTCTTGTCATCATCTCAGGTGACCGCTCATGTGCAAGGAAGTGATACCTCAAGGAACAGGTGAAGGGTCTACCTGGACTTAGTCACCCCAAGTTCCAAAAGGGAACCAATCTTTCTTAAACAGTCTTATCAAGTTATCAGGATTATCCTACTGCAGAAAGCCCAGAGCCACGCCTTCCTGCTATCTGTGGATGTGTATTTATGATCCTCCCAAAAATGATGTGGGTCCTCAACGCACAAAATGTGGGTCATTTTAGCCATATGCAACCTTTCCAGGCAACACAACTTCCAGTGTACCTTTATCAAGGTTCTAGGAGACCAGAGCTAGAAGCAGATTAACTCAAGGTCATTTCCTGTCTAGACAACATAACAGGCACACTGTTTGTCCTCAGTATGTTCTCTGCCAGCACAACCAACAGGACTTCACAGGTCATCTCTTCATGGCTAGTTTTTCCTGCTGCCCCAGAGAGGAAGTCCTGCAAAGTCTGGTGGTCATTGAGTGGATATCTTTTATGTGGCAGCTTGGAAATCAGGTTGGATCCACTCTCTGAGAGCTGATGAATCCAATCACATCTGTTGTTCAGCCCCACAAAGGGACTGCAAACATTCTTAATTAATCAATAAGCACCTGTAATGTTTCTGGTAGCTGGGCTCACTTTTTTTACATCAATTGCTTCTGAATCCCATGACTTTTCAGTTCCATGGTTATGGTGCTATCCGTGGGATGCAGATTGGACAACCAAGAGTCAGATAAACTTATGTGAATTACTCAACAAGTGACAAAGCTAAGGTTTAGACCAGTGGTTGTCCAACTCTAAACATCCACTTTGGTCTTTTGTGGCTCAAAGATGCCCCTGCTCTTTTGGGAACCTCATGCCTAGACTAAGTGGACAAGTTAGCAGATGTAGATGTCTACATTCAAGTGGGCTGAAGGAAATATGTGTACTAAGGATGGTGCTCCATCCCGTCTCCACCCCCATGTCTTTACCTCCCCAGGCCTGAAAGAGGTGGAACAGCCACTGCAGTTGATGCCATGTGCACCTACCATCCCGACCCCACAGGCCTTGGGCTGGACAGGGAGCGCCTCTACTGGGACTTGAGCCAGCTGACCCATGGGGTCACCAAGCTCAGCTCCTACATCCTAGACAGAGACTGTCTTTATGTGGATGGTGAGCTTCTTATGGAGGAGACATTCTCTTCCCTCTCGGGTGGATCCTGTTGTGATTGTTGCACTCTGATGAGAGACCTCATCAAATCTGCCTGCCTCTAGATTTCTCTTTCCTCGCTCTTTCTTTCTTTGTGAGAGTCCCTTCCTCACAAAAGGCCAAATCACACACAGAGAAAGAGGCGGCTGGTCGGAGGCAGCACCCAGTGTGTGGAAGGCAAGTAACTTCCTCACCAAAGGACTCCCTCGGAGCCACTCTAATGGCATCTGTCCTCCTACCAATGGCCTAGCTCCCCCAGTCTCCTGCAACCCTTTTGAATGTCCCCAACTCACCGTTGCTCACTCTCTGCAGGTTACACCAGACCAGTGTTGACCCCTATCCCCAGTGGTAAGTGTCAAGCCCTAGATGTCCCCATGCCCCCAAAGCCCCTAGTGGGCAGCTGGTCACCCCCTACTAAGACCGTAGCCTCGGGGATCCAGGAAGTCTTAGGGCCCTGGTCACGCCATCCCTCCCTTCCCCTCCTGTGACACAGGGCGAGCATCAAGGCTCCCTCACCTCCGAGGTGAGGACGCTGCAACGTGCTCATTTCTCCTGCTTCCTTCTCAGTGACTGAGACCTCTGCACTCTTCCTGGGAACCTCAGCAGCTCCAAACACAGGTAGGAGCCTCCTCTGCACATCTCCTTTCTTCCTGCCTACAAGTTTTTATGCTGAGCCATGGGGAGGGCAAACAGAACATGCAAGACAGGCAAAGGCAAGGAGGTAGTGTGAGAAGGATGAAGCATTTGAGGCTGTGTCCTTGTCACTGACAATGTCAATTAGTACACGTTTGTGGTACGTAGCGAATGCATTCCTTGTGCGGAGTTGGTACATGTACACGATGCATCCTTCTCTCCACCTCTTGGTCCCTTTCCCATTTTCAAAAGATCCCTCCTCCTGTTTCTAACTGTCCATCTTTTATTTTTCTCTTCTATTTATATATACCTTTCACAAGAGAGAAACCATCTGCTATTTAAGCTTACGTGTCTGATTTATTTCACACAGCATTATGGATTCCAGGTGCCTTTTGAGCCCACCTCTTTCTTTCTGATAAAGCGTTGTATTGAGTGGCTTCTACTGCAGATTCTTGGCAATTTTGCCTTTTGAGCCCACCTCTTTCTTTCTGATAAAGCGTTGTATTGAGTGGCTTCTACTGCAGATTGCCTTGGCAATTAGTAAATTAAGATAGCTGCTTACTACTGCTCATTAGTGCAGAAGTCTCCAAGGCTGTTCCTCTGGTCTCAACTAAGCTATTTCGTATGTGTGGAGACATAGGTCAACCAAGTGCCTCTGCTTTGAGGATGCCTGGCTATTGTTTGCAGTGCCTCTATTTTGCTTCACTTTCATCATCCAACAGGCTGGCTCCAGCTTGTTCATATGGTGACTATGGAGAAAGCAAGCCTATCTCAGGTGACCTTCCAAAGACCAAACTGTGACCACGTTGTCTATCCTCAGATCTCGGGGAACCCAGGCTTGCTGTCTCTTAGGATGGAATTGAAATAGTCAAGGGGAATCCAGAACTATTTCCAAAAGATGGAGATCCAAGCAAGTCAGCTTAGAAAGCAGACGCAAATAATGACAAAAATTGGTGACAGCAGTATTCACAAATTGTTCGCCATATACCAGCAACTTGACTCGATTTATATACTTTCAGTCTACCTCTAGCACATAGACGCTACCATGTGTCCACTTAAGAGAGACATGAACTGGATCATAGGGAAAGAAATGATTTCTGAGGTCTCACAACCAGCAGGTGGGTAAGAGTTGAACCAAGTCGCTTGAATTCTAGAGCCTGAGCTTCTGCTCTAGATATAGCTGTGTAGCTGTGGGTAAATAACCGACCCTCTCTAAAGTTATTTTCATCCTCAGTCAGCTGGGAGTGAGTAATGGAATCACATCCAGGGTTAGGCGAGAATTACATGAGATACTGGAGAGAGAGTACTGAGCACCAAGGCAGCCCAGAGTAAGCTCCTGCCCGATTCTACTGCTGCTATTATTGCTATTTTATTGTCATTTTTATTTCTATTGCCACCATTAGTTTATTTCAAAACAAAGTTTCCTTTTGTGGGAGAAACATGTTCACCTCTTGCCCTAGGTGTGAATCTCCTGGGTACCAGGGATCTACCTGGTAGATTCATCTGGATCTGGAGTCTCCCTAAAGCCTCAAAACCACTTCAGATAGGACTCAGGGGTTGACTTCTCCCTTAATCTTACTGCAGCCTCTAGCCCTACTCTGATGTCATTCACCCTTAACTTCACCGTCACCAACATGCCCTACACGGAGGACATGCAGCCTCTGGGCTCCTTGGAATTCAACAAAACAGAGAAAGTTCTTCAAGGACTGGTGAGAGCCACAGCCCCCCACCTCTAGCGTTGCCCACTGAAGCCTCCCTACCTGTTCCAACCCTGTTTCCTTCTCACAGATGCCCCGCCCACCAATGCTGGCTCCACCCACCTCTCTTGCTCCACTGACCTCGTTTTGTTGGTTCTCCTGTCACCATTTAGACCTTCTGCTCATCTCCTTCTCTCTCCTCCACAGCTTGACCCCTTGTTCAAGGACACCAGTGTTGGCCCGCTGTATTCTGGTTGCAGACTGGCACTGCTCAGGTGAATCTTCCAAAGAAGATGGCCCAGGGTGGCATGGTTGAGATTCTTATTCATGGTTGTCTAGGGCTGGGTCCTCCCTTTGGTATCAGCCATTTCCAGCCCCTACCTGGGAAAGCCACTTCTCCTTGGACTCCTGACTCCAGCCCTCTTTCTGGACCTCCCCATCCTCCTAAGCCTCAAATCTCCCATGCAGTGTGTGTTAGCTGCCTGTTGCAATGAACAAAAATACCTGAGATAATTAACTTATACAGAGAAGAGCCTTGTTTGGGCTCCAATCCATGGTCAAGGTAGACCTTTGCTTTCAGGCCTACAGCAAGGCACCGTATCAGGGTAGGAGAGTGTGGTGGAGAAAAACTGCCCACCTCACCACCAGGAAGCAGAAGTCGGGAAGACAAGGGAGCTGAGGTTTCAGAGTATCCTTTGAGGTCATGACCCCAATGACCGAAGACCTCCACTGGGCCCCAGCTCCCAAGGCTCTCTCACCTCCTGATACTGGCACCTGGAAACCAACCCATTAGCATATTGGCCTTCAGGGGATGTTTAAGATCCAAATTATAGTAGCACAGAGTTTCCTAGGAACAAAATGATACAGTGTAACCCCTGGAAAGTACTCCTCAGACTAACCTCCATGATCCTTTAGGAAGGACGCACCTAAATCCTATAAATATAGTCCACAAAACATACAAATATTCCCGAAGCTCCCGGCACAGAAGCAGTTAGTATATTCCAGACAGTGGGGGAAGGCCAGGGTTCTGCTCTCATGTTTCTTATTGTCAGTGGCTGTCCTCATGCACTGTAGGATACTTAGCAGCACCTTGGCCTCTAAAAAAATCCACCAAGATGCCTATAGTAACCCTCCTCTCCCCACCTGCCAAGTTACAACCGCCCAGACTGTATCCAGACACTGTCAAATGTCCTCTGAGGTACAAACTGCCCCTGGCTTAGAATCACCAAAGCTAAAAGCATCCCTAAAATGTTTCCCTAAAGTCTTTCAACACCAGTTATTATCCCCAGTCTCACACATGAAAAACGGAGGCACAGAGACGTTAGGGAACCCACTGCCGCCAAATAGTGAAGCCAGGACTCAAGGCCAGTCCTCAAAGCCCGTGCTGTCTCCAACCATGCTCACTTTCCCACTCTTCTTTGAGGAAAAACACAGCCCTCTGCCTCGCTTCCCCTGTGAGCCCAGTTCTGCTAGTGATGAGGGCCTCTGTGCAAGCGTGGCCAGTGACTCTCCAGGGTCCCCAGCAGGACTCAGCCTCAGTGGGCATCTCCCCACAATACCCTCAATTCCCTGAAAATAAAGTTCCAGAGAGGAATCCCACCCTATGGCGCTGTGATAGATAAGAATGCTGTGATTTTTCTTAGCACCTAGTTCCAGGGCATTGACGTATCCCCTCTGCTCCTGTATCCCAGTATTTCATGAATTTTCTTTCCATCTACTAATAGATGCTTAACTTCTACCCCGTACCAAGCTCTCTCTGCCCAGCTCTGAAAACTCAGTAGTCTTCATCCCTCACAAAAGGTCATTAACAGCTCTCTAATAAGAGTAGTTATCCTAAACGATGATTATATTTATAACCATTATCATAATTGCGGCAGCTGACACTCATTCATTATGTAGGGTATACAGGACCGTTTGAAGCACATTACTTCTATCCCCTTATTTCATCTTCCCAACACGCTTGTGCCCCACGTACTATTATTATGCCATTTTATAAATGAGAAACAGACCCACAGAGAATATTGAAGGGCTCCAGTTTGTCAGCTGAGAAACCGAGGCCCAGACAGGATATTGAATGTCGAGAGATGCGGAAAATGCAGTGAGTCCAGGCAGGAGTGACATTGAGGAGGAGAAGGTAATGGCCGGAGGTCTGTGGCAGAGAAAGAGGGGGGAAAAAAAGAGATAGAGGTAGAAAACACGTAGTGTGGAAATAACCAACTGCAAGGGGAGGGGAGCAGGTGGAGAGGAGAGCAATGCAGGCTTTAGATGGGCTAGAACTGACGTTACATCAGGGCTTCGTGCTCAGGCAGCAGGGAAAGTGGAAGAGTTCGGCTGGTGTTTGACAAGGAAAGAGTTCTGTTGAGTCAGAGTTGGCTGCCATAGCGAGAATACATCCTAAGTGTAGGGGGAAGCCTGGATTTAGAAGGCAAAAGTGAGGCCGGTTCCCCCCGGTAGGAAGAAGACAGCATCCTGGGTCCTGTTTACAAGAGCTGCACCGAGTTCTAAGGTCCTTAAAGCATTCTCAAAACGCTGTGGCGGAACCTCGTCAGGTGGACCCTCACTGTCTCTGTTCCTGGATTCCTCCTCAGCAGGCCGAGAGAGGACCCTCTAGACAACCCAAGTCTGGCTTCTTATCTCTCTCCAGCTCTTCTCAGTTCCTCAAGCCCCTTCCTGCGCGGCCCCAGGATCTCTGCATCCCTCTCCAGCCAATCCATCCACGGCCATCTTTTTCACCACCCTTACCAGGGCAGAGAAGCACGGGGCGGCCACTGGCGTGGACGCAGTCTGCACCCACCACCCAAACTTAACGAGTCCTGGGCTGGACAGAGAGAGGCTGTACTGGGAGCTGAGCCAGCTGACCCAAGGCATCACCCGGCTTGGACCTTACACCCTGCAGCAGGACAGTCTCCATGTGGATGGTGAGCAGCTGTCCTGTGTACTTTCCTGCCTTATAGATGCCCACAGCCTCCACTTCCAGAGTTCGTTTCTTCTTCACCTCTGAGCACCTCCTCACTCACATTTGTAACTTTTTTCTGCAGGTTACACTCACCAGACTGAAACAAGTGTCCCCAGTGGTGAGTAGTCCATGGCCCTCGGGGCCATCCCGCTTTACCCAAGGATAGGAGGAGCCCCACATCTTGCGTCTTTCTCTAGCTGTCAGGGATGGAAAGATTGGGACGTCTTCCGTATACCTTTCTCTGACAACAGAAAAATGCCCCTAAATGCTGGACGGAAGGAGTAAAGTCATATTCAGTAGAAATATGGAGATGCGAATGTTAGATGGCAAACTATCCCTTCAAGGCCTTGTAGCTGCCAGATCGCTCCGTGCTCACCGGGATCATATTGTGGTCCAGGGTTACCCACAATCGATGACCCAGTCATTAGACACCAACACCTCTCGACCATTGCTGTGGTCTCCGGTGAGGTGTCCCGGAGATGACCTCAGTCTGTGGTCCCAGGCCCGACTTCTCCCCTATGTCCGACCACGGCCTGATTCAACACGGCAGCCCTCTCCTTTCTGCTGCTGCCACAGGATCTCCCCTGGTGCCATTTACCCTAAACTTCACCATCACCAACCTGCCCTATGAGGAAGAGTCGTGGCCTCCAGGACTCTGGAAGTTTAACGACACGGAGAAGGTCCTGCAACACCTGGTGAGAGCCCCGCCCACCCCACAGCAGCCCCGCCCACCAGCTTTCTGACCACGCCCATCTCCGGCCCCCTCTGCCCTTGGCCGCCAGCCCCACCACCCATCCATCCACCCTGCCTCACCTGCTGATAAAGGCACAACCCAACTCTGATGACCCTGCCCTTACCTCTCCGAGCATCTTTCTGTTCTCTACAGCTCAGACGCTTGTTCAAGAACACAACTATCGGCCCCCTCTACTCTGGCTGCAGAGTGACCTTGCTCAGGTAAGCCCTGAGGGTAACTGGCCAGGGCTGCTCTCAGTGATCCTAGGCCCAGAGAGTTTGTTCAGCTTCTCTCCCAGACCCTTTATGAATGCCTTAGCCTGGGTGGGATTCAGGAGGCACCAAGATGTCTTCTGGCCCCTAAGAAACTGTCCTCTGATCCTGCAGAATTTATGAGCAGGATTAGGCCTCGGCTGTCCTCATCCATCCTGAAATCCTTCCTCCCTTTACCCCGCAAAGTACAAATGAGTTTCTTTCAGGTTTCAAATACTGGCTTTTCTCTTATCATAAACATGCCTTCTCCATCTGCTTTAGTTCCCAGTTCTTTACACAGCTCAAGGGCGACCTTTCCTGTGTCCGTGCACACAGAGTGCAGTCTTCAGACACACCACATAATCGTGTCTCCTACCTATCAGCTCTGCTTGTGGGTCCAGAATGCTCAGAAGTCAGGACACTAAGAGAATCAGAGTTTTCTTTGTCACCTCTCCATAAGCTTCTCGTTTTATTCTGGGCCCTTCCTGTCATTTGCCTAAGAATTTCAATGCCTTCCTGACCCGTTCCCTTACTGTCATCCCTCTTGCCTGCCTTCCTCAGACCTGAGAAGGGTGGGTCAGCCACAGGAGTGGACACTGTCTGTACCTATCGTCCTGAACCCATGGGCCTCAAGCTGAACCGAGAGCAGCTGTACTGGGAGCTGAGCCAGCTGACCCATGGTGTCACCCAACTGGGCCGCTACACCCTGGAAAAGAACAGTCTGTATGTTAATGGTACGTGGCGGCCATATATTCGGCTGTATTTTATAGCCCCCGGGCTCCCTTTATCCCTTCACCTTCCAACACTTCCTCACTTTCTCCCCCCACCCCCCGCACCTGCAGGATACACCAACAGGACTGCAGTAGCGACGCCTAGTGGTGAGTACTCACTGACCATCAAAAGTCCCCACCACAGCCAGGGAATAGGCCACCAGTATAATTTTTGTTAGGATGACCGCAGCATCCTCCAGTCTGGGAATCCTACTGTCCTCCTCACAGCCTCTGCAACCTCCTTCTCAATGTGCATTTAACCCACATAATTCCCAACTGTTTTACCATATTCGAATAACTCCATCTGGTCTACAAGTTGTACTCTAAGCCCTGTGCTGCATGATCATTGAGTCCCCTTTCAGGGCTCATAGGATTCTTCTCTTCTTGTATCTGCACCTCCTACAGCCTTAATGAAGGAACTTTGGATGCTTTGAGTGTATCATGCTCATCCTCCTGTGTGTCCTCTTCCCACGCTATTCCTTTTGCCTGGAGTACTCTCCCTATGTACTCCATGTTCATTAACTTAACCTTTTGCCATGCTCTCGATTACGCCTGAAATTATACCCTCTCTGAGGAGTTTCCCCATGCATTGATTGGGTTATTTTGCTGAATTTTTATAGCCCTCCTCCCTACCAACTTCCCCTGAAGCATGGTCATCTGTTCACTTCTATGCCCACAACATTGGTAGACTATGTCCTGTTAGTCTTTGGACCCACCAGAGCCCATCACAAAATCTTGAGCACGTCAGTCACCCAATAAGTATTCATCAAATGAGTAAATAAACGTTACTGATCACTTAGGAACTTCAGAATGCCCCCTCCTTTAGCTCTTGAGGTCCACAGCTAATGCCCCACACTCTGGGCATGAAGCAGTCTTAATCATGACAGGACTTCATCCCAAAATGGACACTTTTGTTTCCTCCACCAATGCAGCTAATGGCTCTACTACAGTACTGGTCACACTCAACTTCACCATCACCAACATGGGTTACGCAGAGGAAATGGGAAAGCCAGGTTCCTTGAAGTTTAACTTCACCGAGAGGGTCCTTCAGCGCCAGGTAAGAGCCTTTTCATGACTACTCCATACCTTCTCACACCTGCCCTAGTTACCTCCTCAGCCATCCTCTCTAATATCCCTCTGTTTTTCCAACAGCTTAGGTTCTTGCTCAATAAGACCAGTGTTGGGCCACTCTACGTTGGCTGCCAGTTGGCTGCACTCAGGTGAGACTCTCAGATAGAAAGGACTTTCATGCACCGTACAGGGAGGCTCAGGTATCACTAAAACCAGCACCCACTATGATGTCTTTATGCTTTGTTGTGGCACAGAAGGATTGAAGATTGGAACATTCACCAGCTTAGAGATGAGAACTATGTCTAGTGTACAAAACCCAGGTGCTGTTCTGCTTTAAATGAGGGTTGTCCTTGTAGAAGAAATAGAACTACCAGGCTTCCTGTCTGCAGATTCTAATTTCCATGTTTTATGTCCCCAGTAGGAGTAGACTATCCCACACAAGTCACACACAGGAGACTTCACAGCTAGGCACCTCCACATCTTGCTGAGCCTTCTCCCTTCTGTTCTTTTGCTTCTCACACCAATGACGATGAAGATCTCCTTTCTGTGTCCCCACGTACTTCCTCCACCAGGTGTGAGAAGGATGGGGCCGCCACAGGAGTAGATGTCATCTGCACCTTCCACTCCGATTCTACGGGCCCTGGGCTGGACAGAGAGAAGCTGTACAGGGAGCTGAGTCATGAAACCCATGGCATCACCCAGCTGGGTCACCACTACACCCTAGACCACAAGAGTCTGTATGTCAATGGTGAGGAGGGAGCACATTGCAGCACAATCTCCCTCTCTCCCCCTTCCCTCCCCCTCCCCTCC